TAAATTCAGTAATAGAACTGAAGTAATAACAAATATAACAAACTCAGTAAATAAATTTAATAATGCAGCAAACATAACAAATTCCAAAATATAATACAATAAATTTGTAAACATTCAACGCGATCAAGTGTACACTAAAACATAACGAAACATAAATCTGATCGACTTGTATCAAAAAGGAGTATTTCCAAGCTTCTTCACAAAAGAATTACGTACTTGAATGGCTCCAAGATTCACGGTTTTTCTCGGTTTTTGTCGTTGTCTTTCCGAAAGGGCAATTGGTTGGAAAAGCTTTGGACGATGAAGAAGGTCAGCAACGGTGGCGATAACCCGGTGACCTACATCTTGATCGCCACGTTTTACGCCAGACTTGGAAAACTGTTAGCATTACTGTTAAGGCTAGTCAATTTTCCCTTGAAAGGCTAGATTTATTGCTGTTATCTCGCTATCAAGTCAAACTTACAAATTTACTAACTTCCGCGTTGCGAGTTCTCAAATTTTCCGCTCAAGAAAATTCGAAGTTCTCGAACCCTCATATTTATTCACTGCAAAAATTTATTTTCGAATGTGGAGACAAGTTTTGAAATTTTTTAATTTTTTTAGGTATATTCGAATTTTTTTGTGGTTAATGGAGAAAATTAGGGATTTTTGAGTTTTTTTATTGGTATTTGGGGAAAACTAGGGATTTTTGAAGTTTTTGGTTATTATTTGGAGACAATTAGGGATTTTTTAATTTTTTGATCAGTAATTGAAGAAAATTTGGGATTTCTTTATTTTTTGATCATTAATTGGAGAAAATTGGGGATTTTCATATTTTTTAATCATTAATTGGAGAAAATTAGGGATTTAAAAATTTTTTTATTGTTATTTGGAGATAATTAGGGATTTTTAAATTTTTTGATCATTGATTGAAGAAAATTAGGGATTTTTTAATTTTTTGATCATTAATTGGAGAAAACTAGGGATTTTCATATTTTTTAATCATTAATTGGAGAAAATTAGGGATTAAACAAATTTTTTTATTGTTATTTGGAGATAATTAGGGATTTTTAAATTTTTTGATCATTGATTGAAGAAAATTAGGGATTTTTTAATTTTTTGATCATTAATTGGAGAAAACTAGGGATTTTCGAATTTTGTATTGTTATTTGGAGACATTTAGGGATTTTCATATTTTTTTATCATTAATTAGGAACAATTAGGAATTTTCATATTTTTTTATCATTAATTAGAGACAATTAGGGATTTTCATATTTGTTTATCATTAATTGAAGATAATTAAGGATTTTTCAATTTTTAAATAGACAAACTTAAATTCATTTAAATATACAAATTAAAAAATTTTCATGTTTGCAGATTTTTTAACTAGCAACCTAATAAAAGTTCAAGAGGTCAAATTCAGCCATTTTCTTCATTTTTCAAATTTATTATAGTAACCTGATAATTAAGTGAACAATTATTTAATACATTTATTAATACACTATTAAAATTGTATTTTTAATGACAATATATATTATTATTTAAAAATAGTTTGAAATAATACTCAGTTCCAATGACGAATAAATAAAAGAAACAGAAACAGGTTAAGATGTTTAATTAAATGAACAATGCAGTGTATGATACTGAAACAAGCCAGCCACTCGTTCGGTTGGGATCCCTTTAAACACGAGGGCTGCGTTTTTACCTAGGGGGTGTAACATAGGTTAACAGAAGATAAGATGAGAGGCAAAAGTGGTCTCTGCACATGTGCCACGTAGGTGTCTTCTTCCTACATTCTCTGAATCGCTGACTAGACTCGTTTTTTTTCTAACAAACGAGCGCATCTAACAAGAGAAAAAACTTGGAAAAAATTCTTCACTGACGGTCTGAACAACTCGTTGTCTCGGGGGGCAGGTGCCACTTTATGTAGTATAATAAAACGATCGAATAATTTCAATATTAAAGTTTCTTCACTAGATACTGTAGAGTATTCTTCACTCTACAAATAATAAAAATTAGGGAATTTCTGGGTAGAGTATTCTTCACTCTACTAGTAATACAAATTAGGGAATTTCTGGATAACTGTGGGTAACTGTAGATAAAACTGTAGATGAAGTTATTAAGTATAATAGAAATGATTGAATAATTCAAACGTTGAAGTGTATTCTTCACTCTGTAATAATCAAAATTAAGGAATTTTAGATGTGGGTAACTATAGACAAGTAACTGTAAGTAAAACTGTAGGTAAAACGTTACATTGTGTATAATAAAGTGATTAAATAATCCAAATGTCGAGTGAAAAGTATTTTATACTGTTCAAAATTAGGGAATTTTTTAAAGAAGATAACTTTGGACTTACGTGAATAAAACATAAGGTATTTGGTCGAAGAAATCATTAAAATTTGAAGGGTTTTGTGAAGGAAGGAGTTTAGTGGAAGTACTTCGGTTAGCTTCGGACGCTCTCGGTCTCTGTCGGCCGAGCGTCGTATAACTGGCGGGAGAGCTACGATCACCCGAGTAGCGCCGAAGGGAGACGGAGATAACCGATTCACGTCCACTCGTTCTTTGCGAACCTTATTTCCACATGTGTTTATATAAATTATTTAATTCTTGAATAGTATTGTATTTAGGCTTTTCTATATTCAAGTTTCCATTGATCTACACATTTAAATTTTCTTTGGATCCACGTTTCAAGCTTGAATGTTAATATAATTGTTTCTTGTTCATAACGAAATATTTTGTGCTGTTGATTGACTTCACTACTTACTTTCTACGGTTTAGTAGATGCTCTAAAGAGACTGTTCTGTGTTAGAAACTGTTTCATATTAGATATAATGGTTTTATGTATGAAATTAACAACTATGACATGAGAATAATGTAACTTTACATTATTAAATTAAATATTAAATTGTGTTAAATCACTCTATGTATAAAATCAAAAACTATAACATAAAAGTAATACAATTTGTACTACATATTAAATTGTGTTAAATAAAATCACTCTACAAATAAAATTACCAACTATAACATAGAAGTAATACAATATATACTACACATTAAATTGTGTTAAATAAAATCACTCTATAAATAAAATCAACAACTATAACATAGAAGTAATATAATTTAAACTGCATATTAAATTGTGTTAAATAAAATCACTCTACAAATAAAATCAACAACTATAACATAGAAGTAATACAATTTATACTACACATTAAATTGTGTTAAATAAAATCACTCTACAAATAAAATCAACAACTATAACATAAAAGTAATACAATATATACTACACATTAAATTGTGCTAATTAAAATCACTCAACAAATAAAATTAACAACAACACCATAAAAGTAATACAATATATACTACACATTAAATTGTGTTAAATAAAATCACTCAACAAATAAAATTAACAACAACACCATAAAAGTAATAAAACTTAAACTCCATAAAAAAATATATTATTAAATTATATTACATTAAACGATAAAATAATCTACATCCAAGTACCCAAGTAAAAATAAAGTTAGTAACAGTCTAAAAACTAGAAAATCGATTAGCAAACGTTGTTCCCCAGGTCGTTAATCACGAAGAACGTTCATCAATCATTAATTGTTTTGTTTTTATATCTACGATAAATCACCGATGTTTTATATGGCACATGTGGTGAAATTACTTGAAATTTGACGAGCTGTTACTTGGAACAAAGCCAACCGTCGAGATCGATCGACAGTTAAAATACCATAAGCCGTGCTTCTTTATTTATTCAAGCACACTTGCGCTATACATATGTTTCCACGAGGAATTCTATAGTTGAGAAGTACCTCACATGTGTGTGTACGTGTGCGCGAGTATTCGGTACATCGATATCTATTAAGTACTAAACGCTATTCCATTTCTATATCGTTACGAATGCAGACAACACAAAATATAGCGTTTTCGGTTTTATTAGGTCAGCGCGTAAATGTCATGGACGTATTTCGAGTAATTTTGAAGTAATGCGAATGAAACGGGTTTTAGTATATTTGGTGGGATATATCTTTGTGATTAACTGTTTGTACGGGGATGAGAATTAATGTGCTTGTTTTTTTGGTCGTTTATTTATTTGGGTGGTAATATTTATTTGGTACAGTTTTTTAGATTATATAGTCGTATTTGTGTAATTAATGTTTTTTTGGGGATTGGAATTTTTGTAGTTGGATATTTTTAAAGCGAGGGAATTTGGGATTTTTGGAGATGGAGGATTTGAAGTTGAGGAAGTTGGGGATTTTTGTATTTAGGGATTTTTAAGGTGAGGGAATTTGGGATTTTTGGAGTTGGGGGATTTGAAGTTGAGGAAATTGGGGATTTTTGTATTTAGGGATTTTTAAGTTGAGGAAATTGGGGATTTTTGTATTTAGGAATTTTTAAGTTGAGAAAATTGGGAATTTTTGTACTTAGGGGTTTTCAAGTTGAGGAAATTGGGGATTTTTGTATTTAGGGGTTTTCAAGTTGAGGAAATTGGGGATTTTTGTATTTAGGGGTTTTTAAGTTGAGGAAGTTTGAAATTTTTGTATTTAGAGATTTTTAAATTGAGGAAATTGGGGTTTTTTGTATTTAGGAATTTCCAAGTTAAGAAAATTAAAAATTTTTATATCCAAAAATCTTCAAGTTGGGGTAAATTGTAATTTTTGTATTTAAAAATTTTCAAATTAGGAATGCTACTAATTGTTATCATTAAAAATTAACTTGAGAAAATTTGTCATTTTTGTATTTGAAAATTAACCTTAAGAAAATTTATAATTTTTATATTTAACAATTTTTTAATTGAAAAGGCTTAGAATATTTATATCCTCAAATTTAAACTTGCAAAAGTGATTATATAAATTGTAGTCCAAAACAGATATTACTATTGCAAAATAACTAATAACATTGTATAAATAATAATATTCTACCGCAAAAAGTTTACCTACCACTAAATAATAGATTAAATAATTTCATAGGAATCAGTTATTTACGATTTCCATATTTTTCTGTTTCAGGTGGTGTTAGTTTTCATTCTCAGTATAGCATCGCTTATAATATACTTCATTGATGCCTCCAGGTGAGATAAATAATTATTATTGAATTTATTCATATTTTTTAACATCTTTGCAAAATATTAATCTATAAACATATACCCTACAATTATTTTAAATATTAATTATTTAATATTTATATTTAGTTATTATTAATAACTAAAATTTATCTTTACAATATAATATATTTATCTTTGAAATTAAATTACTAATAATAGTACACAAGAAAAATGATATATAATTCATAAATGGTACAAAACATGGTATAAAACATAAAATTCAATTAAACATCAATTTTTTAATGAATTTCTAAATTTTTTATATCTGAATAAATTTATATGTGAAACAGATTGCATTAAAGAATATTATATTCAGCAGGTGTAATTGCTTCTACTATAATTTCCATAATTCATAATAGTATTATTATTTATTTTATTCTTGATCAAACTTGATTAAATATATCAACAAATAATTCAACTTGATATTTTCATTATGACAATTTTATGTTACAGTGAAGAGGTGGAACGTTGCCAAAAGTGGAGCAACAACATTACTCAGCAGATAGACTTAGCTTTCAATATATTTTTTATGGTCTACTTTTTTATACGCGTAAGTGTAACATAATCAATATTAAATAGCAACGGTATTATTTTAACAATTCAAAATATAATTTATATTCTTGCTTTGAGCTTATTTTAACGCTAGACCTATTTATATTTTATGCACTGTTATTTTCAAATTGAAAAATGAATAAATAAATTAAAGACATAAATCATTATTCTTTTTTGTTAGTTAAAATTAGAATCTACAGAGTGAGTCAATACGAATGATCTAAAATTTATTTTATTAAAATATTTTATATGTAAAATTAATTTCTGTGGTAGCCATTTTGTGGTTATGTTAGGTTAGGTTCGATTTTGTGATGGTCATCAATTTTTATCTTAATGCCTCTAAGATTATATGATTTTTATTTTTTAAATGCATTCATCTTTATGTGTAATTCAATTTTGTAAGATAGTCTGTGTAGAGTAATTAATTAATTAAAAATTAATTGAAGTACAGTGTTAAAAGTATGAATAATTCATGAAATACTACAAATTCAAAACATGTGACATTTCATAAAATAATTAAAAATACCTCATAAACTGTTTAGGGTTATTCACATGTAACAAAACAGAAAATTTTATAGGTTATGGCATACCAGTTACGGTAGAATTTTATAGGTTATAGGTTATGGTCTCTAATAAAATGATTCTAGTATTATTTTTCGTTTACATAAAAGAAAGACATACAAATTCATTATAAAAAAACAAACAAATATTATTTTGAAATCTTGAAACTTATCTGGGTAGAATTTATGACCATCACAAGATGTCTCTCAAAATAAAAGTTTTGTTTAAAATATTTTTTGACGCCAACAAATAATTATGTCTTTTTTATCGACTCACCCTATATACAACGGTAATATCGTTTTAACACGTTCGCGCTCAGTACAATAAATTTACACGCACCAGAAAAGTGGTGAAATTCAGAGAGCATCGGCGCCAATTGATGTCGCAGCGAACATCAATCGGTGCCTCATCCTGATGGTTAAATTTACGATTTCGCTTTATCTCGATTAAACTGCACCTGTTATCCCGGGCTCGAACGAGTTTAACCAGTTAACTGCGGAATTTAGTTTCAAAAATCCATCATGGGATACGGAATTAAAATCAAGCAGTATACGCGTCAAACGTAAAGTAAACACTGTTACAAATTATACAAAAAAAGCAAAACGAGGAAGGATTTTCGTTCGATGGAAAATGAACGATTCGTTGTTGAAAAGGTTGTTGAAGCTTGAAAATTGTCGAGGGTAAAATTCGTATAAAAGAATTGAAGAAGTAAAGTAATTTGAAGAAATTCGGTTGATGCGTGGTATTTTTTCTAGCGAGGCGCTGTACAAAATGGCACTTCGCAGGTCATGCACCAGTATCGTGACTCCTTATCAGATGCATTGGAGAAAATAATCGATTCAGGTTGTAAAAGGTTATACTGTACGTGGAATATCCGATATTCCACAGAGAATAATTAAACATTTTTCATAAAATACGTACACAAAGTACGGTTGTATTTATGAAATAAACTTTTCTTCATAAAATACATGTACAAAATACAGTTGTATTTATAAAATAAACTCTTTTTTATAAAATACATGTACAAGATACAGTTGTGTTCATAAAATAAACTTTTTTTATAAGTACAACTGCCGATAGCAGTTTTATTGGTAATGTAGAGGAAACGTATCATCGAATGACAATTTTATTACTTCTTATTGAAATTTCGAGGTTTTATGGTGAATGTGATATTTTAGGTGAGGGGTGTATACGTATAATGCGTCGAAATAAAGTTTTATATGTCGAACACAGTTAACTGGTTAATCCATTCGTTAGGACTATATAGTTGTAGTATAAAACGAAATGTTTTGTTTTATAATAGTTTATCGCCGCCAGTGACAAGCTGTGGTTCATGCTGGAGATGTATTCGTTCGTGGACTACTTTACGATACCACCATCCTTCGTATCGATATATCTCGATCGGACGTGGATCGGACTGAGGTTCCTCCGAGCCCTACGACTGATGACGGTCCCTGACATCCTCCAGTATCTAAACATTCTAAAGACATCAAGCTCCATTCGTCTCGCCCAACTTGTATCGATTTTCATCTCCGTCTGGTTAACAGCTGCTGGCATCATTCATTTGGTAAGATTGTTAACACATTTATGTAGTAAGTCTACATAAAACATGTAAAATGTAGTAAGTCTAACTTCATGACATAAAAGCATCACAGAATATCAATTATGATATATCAATTTGAAGCTATAAATCTGTCAAACATAACTACATAAAGGATTCATTAAGTTTTTTAGTGTAACATGAATGGTTATTAATTGTAACAAATGATGAACAATTTTGAAGTATAAAAGTCTGATGAAATTTCATGACATAAAAGCATCACAGAATACCACTTATAGCACATCAATGTAAAGCTTAAAGTATAATAAAAATGACCATATAAACGTTTTATCGATAAGTTTAGTACAACATGGTTACCTATCGGCCTCAAGAGCAATCGATTACTGTAGAAACGTTTTAGCGATATGTTTAGTACAACATGGTTACCTATCGGCCTCAAGAGCAATCGATTACTGTAGAAAGTATTCTACTAAGTAGCTAATACTTTACAAGATTTTATTATAGAAAGTATCACAAAGTGGCACTTGTTGTATATCAATTTAAAGCTTAAAACATAACAAAAATGACTGCACAAACAATTCATATATTTTCTTAATACTAAATGATTGGCCGCTAATTATAGCAAACAATGACCGATCCTGAAACGTATAAAATCACACTTGATTTCATGACATAAAAGTATCTCGAAATGATACTTATGACACGTAAATTTAAAGCTTGAAGTATAATAAAAAGAACTACATAAACGTTTTATCAATATTCGTAACATAAAATGGCTGTCCGTCGGCCTCAACTCAATGAATCAGTTACTACCTATACTCATGTACTCTATTAGGTGACTAATGTTTGGCACGATCTTATAACAGAAGGGTGTGGCAAAATGGTACTTGATATATATCAATTTAAAGCTTGAATTCCGACAAAAATAACCGCGTAAACGTTTCATCGATAATGTTATAAAGAAATGAATAGTTGTCATTCATAGCAAGTAACGAAAAGCTGTTACATATCAGGTAGTTGATTTCGAAACGTGGAAAGATCCGATTCCGTGACATAAAAGTGTCTAAAAATACCGCTTATGACACGTCAATTTGAAGCTTCCAGTTTTAATGAAGACGACTACATAAACGTTTCATCAATATTTTGAGTATAAACCCGCTGGTTGTCAGTGGAATATAGCATAATATTATTATTATTTGATGAACAGTATTAACGTAAGTGATGCATTATTTATCGAATCAACCATTTTATGTTAAAAATATTAATAGAGCTATTAAATAACAATTTTTTTGAGACCTTCAGCTTCAAATTGGTATAAGATAAGTGGTGTTCTGTACTGTGTTTTCAAATTACGTCAGAGTTTCTATGAGTTACTACATATAAAGGTGTGAGTTACTACTCTGTTAGGTAGCCAATGTTTGGTATAACAGGGTGTAACAAAATATCAGTTGATATATTTAAAGCTTGAAGTTGGGTAAAAAGTGTATAAACGTTGGAGAAAGTCAGATGTTATGATTGTATTAGTATCTTGTGTAAAGGGATCAAAGTATTCGAGTCCACGATAGCGTATAGATAGCAGTTAGTGACAGGTTGATTCTAAAAGTTTGATCTGTTTGTTTGCAGCTTGAAAACTCAGGGGACCCGTTCGAGTTCACGAACCCTCAACAGCTTTCGTACTGGACCTGCGTCTACTTTCTGATCGTGACGATGTCCACGGTAGGATATGGCGACGTTTACTGCCAGACGGTCCTCGGCCGCACATTCCTAGTATTTTTTCTACTCGTCGGTTTGGTAAGCCTTTTTCACATTTTCCTTAAATAGTCCAAAGTATTTTTGTTCAATACGTATGAAAACTAAACGAGTCTATAGTTTACTATAGAAGATCCCGAGCGAGAAACTAAATTGCCTTAAACGTTTCTGAATTTCCATCTCGTCTTTTTGATATCAAAATTTCTTTGTCAGTTGTATATCGCATCAGAAATTGAAGGCAATTTTGTTTCTCCTAAATATATTTGTTCGATTTCTGCGAAACGTTCAACTTATTGGAATGTTTTAGATAATTTTTATCTCGGATGTGGTTAGACTTCCTGAATTTTTATCTTATGATAATTATTAATTACTGTTCTGATTTAGGTTATGTGGTTTGAACCGGTAGGGAAAGTTTTGTGATGTAAATAAACCAAGGGTGAATGAAGCTTAAGCCGCTGCCACGCTACAAGATTTTCTCTTGTGAATTTTAATTTTTTAAGATGTAACATAACTAGTTAAACACAGTAATAAGTATAAATATTATCTTCTTTAACACTACTTAAATTTATTTGTCTATCTTTAAATATTTCTGTCAGATTCTGTACATTAATGTTAATTAAAAATTGAATTTAATTTCTGAACTGTGTTGTATCAAGGAAAATTTGTCTCTGCTATAAAAAATATGGTTTATTAATTTTTTAAAAATATTATATAATTGATTAATTCTTAACAAATATTAATTTTGTCAAATGTAACCTGATGCATTTTTAAAAGTATTTAACTAACTCTATTTGCTAAATTTAACCAGAGTATTATTATATAAAATGAAAATAGACTAACAAAAATTTATGTTGAACTTCATATTTATAAAACATAATACTAACAAACTAACAAACATAACAATGTATCAACAAACACAGTTATCAATATTTATTACAATAACTAAGATGATTAAATTACTTAAATGTATATAATATAATAATATAATATAAATGTATTAAACGAATGTAGAAATGGAAATATCAAGATTGATCAGCGTGTCAGCGGCTTAAGGCAGTTTAAGTTATCACGTCGCGCCACAATTCTGGTTTATTTAGGTTGCAATGTATCATGTTATTCCGTGAAATTGTTCTGTTGTCTTTCTACGTGTTAAATAGTACATATAAACCATTGTAACTGCGGTTTGTCTCGATTAGCGAGTTGAATGTTTCGCAGAATTCGTGTCGTTAGAGTAGAACGCTGGTCTCGTCACAGATCAGTAGTTCAGATTGGCGAGGCAAGCGGTGGCCACAATATTTACACGTATATTCTCCTCGATATACACGAATTGGTAAATATTTCGAGCACACACTGTTCTCCGATTAATTTTTAACTTCAATTATTTATACACCATTTCACACGATTCGTTTCAAGCATCATAATCGATCAAAGTATTAATTATTAATGGCATTACTAAAATATCATTATTTTATTAAAATTGAAATTGGTAGTTTTAAATTAATTATTAATGTCATTGCTAAAATATCATTATTTTATTAAAATTGAAGTTGGCAGTTTTAAATTAATTATTAATGTCATTACTGAAATGTCATTATTTCATTCAAATCAAAATTGGTAGTTTTAAATTAATTATTAGTGTCATTACTAAAATATTATGATTATTTCATTAAAATCAAAATTGGTAGTTTTAAATTAATTATTAATGTCATTGCTAGAATATCATTATTTTATTAAAATTAAAATTGGTAGTTTTAAATTAATTATTAATGTCATTATTAAAATATTATGATTATTTCATTCAAATAAAAATTAGTAGTTTTAAAATTAAAATTCTGAAAATGTTTATATATTTTTAAAATTTAAGAAATTGTCAGTACTTGATAAAATATGTAGAAATCTTTAGAACAACTTGTTAATTATTTCATGAAAAAAAGAAAATAAAAAAGTATCTTTTTTATCAACACAACAATTCACATTATTTTCAAAAATAAACCATGAGAATATGTTAACAAATGTTTAAATAAAAAAGCAGCTTTAAGAAGCACTGTGATTATAATTTAATACAAGGAAAATAAAAAAGTATCTTTTTTATCAACACAATAATTTATACAGTTCTCAAAAATAAACTTTGAAAATATAACAAAAGTTGAAATAAAAAAACAGCTTTAAGAAGCAGTATAATTATAATTTAATAAAAAAAAGTACAAAGTGGATTGTCAGGGTACATACTTAAATATTCTATCAGCTTGAAATTAAAATTGGAAAAAGGTCAAAGGAGAACCAATATGATTCATTGAACACTGAAAGATACGTGACTCACAGGTCGATATAGTTCGTTACAGTAGAATCTCGTTATATTGCCACCAATGGGGTTGATTTGTAAAATTAGAAATTGTAGAAATTATAGGTTATCAGTTTTCTTTTTTGATATAATGGTCTCCCGTATAATGTGAAAGAGAACCACTGGTGTGAAGGTAAATCAGTAGCGTCGCTAGTAGTTGCAGGGCCCGGTGCAAAAATAACATTGAAAAGACTTAGATTGATTTTTGTATAATAAATTGTTGACACTATTAAATATTGCATTGGACTAAATTTTATTTGTTGATTCAATTTTATTAAATTAGATTAAATTTTATTAGTTGATTCAATTTTATTAAATTTGCTTAAATTTTACTCAAACTTGAGTGCAAATATTTTCATAGATAAAATTGGAGTATTAAAATATCAGTGACAAATTTTATAACAATGAAAATTGCAATACAAATAGATTTACTTAATATTACTTAAATAATTTTATAGTAATATATAATTTAATGCAACTTAACTAGTGTAAATCAATTTCGATATAATTCAAGTAACAATTTTATTTAGCATAATTTGAACAATTTAATACAATTTATACAATTGTTTAGTATAATTTAAATAACATAAACCAATCCATTTAACCTAAATAACCTAATAATCTATCCATTTAACCTAATAATCTATAAACTATATAAAGAATACAAACAATATAAATTAAATAATGCAATGCAAATATAAAGAATATAAACCATAATTAAATAATGCAAATGAACTTTTATGGACTACAGTCGGTAACGCTCGAATAGTCCATACTAAAATGAGGTGGCAATATAACGAGAGTGAACTGTATTCGTTACACGAAACGCTATCATAAAATTAGAATTCCCGGACGTTTTATGTGCACCAAGCTAATATTTAAACAATGATCGGAGGATAGTGTGGCTCGTTGCGAATCGATTGCCTCGTTTGAACGACGATGCGCAGTGTCTGTGAGAAACGTGGCTGGCCGCGAGTATGCGTGTCTACGCGAACATGTGTCCCTCATCGATCGTACCCTTGCGAAAAAATACGAGTTCGTGTCGGAACCTAACCTACAAAAAATGGCCTAACCTGCGAACGAGACTCTCGGTCGGCCATGTTTCTCGATGAAACGAAGAGATTCGACTCGTCATTCGTAAATGTTCGATGAAACCGAGACACAAATGTTCTTCTAACGTTCAAAGTGTTTCACATTTTCAGATTGGCATTTTCCAAGTCCCAAAATTTAGCATTTCTCAATTAGAAAAAGGCCCCTCTCGATCGAACGATACGAGTCGATTGCTCATCGAATATCGAGGAAGAACGTAAACAGATCGACTTAACCTACCAAGCAGCTTCACACTTTCTCTCTCTATATATCTTTTTTTGTCTTTTCTTTTTACGTCGATCGTTTGAACCGTTTTGAATTTCGCGCCCCCTGTTCCTCGAGTCACTCGTACCAATACGCTGCGGGTAAAACGAAAAAAAAAAAAAAAACTTCTGAATTTGGCGCCGGTCCACCTGCGAGCCAGCTTGGACCTAGTTTCGTGTCGCTACGGTGAGAACAAGAAAAAAAATGGAGCTCTAGAGTACTGTTTTCTATAGCGATACTGGCTACCTGTGCCTTATGCCTATACCTCTATGTGTCGGGATATTTCGTGCAGTCATGCCACCCTCGTAACAAAAACGAAAATCGGGACGTAGTTTCGCCGCGTGCTATTTCCTCACTCGACTCGTTTAGTGCCCAGTTCCGTGACAAGATGGCGTGATCGCGAGGGAGGTATGCGTACGATACTACAGTTTATTTATCACATCAAATATCAAGATTCTACACTCATGACGGCCACCAACGGCGAGCTTCAATCGTTCTCGTACCTACACGCCTCACTCTGTCGAATAAATTAAATAAATAAATAAATAAAGGGTCTGTGCGCTTCGATCTGAGGGGATTCCCACGTTCTCGATGAAATATTATCTCGTAAATCTCGTCCACGTTAGGTTGCTCCCTTTATTTATTTATTTTATAAATAAAGGGTCTGTCACGCTCTTCGAATTCTCTCCGGCTAATCCCAACTTTCTGTAGAATTTTCTGGAAGATGTGGTCCATCGGTGAAACACGTGTTCTTTATTTATTCATTTCATAAGTAAAGGGGATGTAATGCAGTTTATTTCGAGATAGCGTGGTAGTAAATCTATATTTCGGTGAGAAATGCGATTTTCCCGAGATTTTATTTACCTGAGAGGGTTCGAAGGGTTGTAAAGGGGAACCCCAGGGAGATACGAAAGATTTTTACGTGGTTTTCGGTCTTAGCCACGTAGGCCACCGAAGTCCAGCTATATTGGCCGCGATCCACCCAAAAATGGGTAGCCGTGTGCTGTTGGCATAAAAAATGCAGAAAATAACTCGGAGAGGCATAAAGGCCAACGTCGTTATTATAGTTCATTTGGGCAATGGAGTGTGCACTTATTGTGTTACTCCTAAATCCCATTCTTTTGGAAGAAATTAAATATCTGCGAGCCAGCTTGGACCTAGTTTCGTGTCGCTACGGTGAGAACAAGAAAAAAAATGGAGCTCTAGAGTACTGTTTTCTATAGCGATACTGGCTACCTGTGCCTTATGCCTATACCTCTATGTGTCGGGATATTTCGTGCAGTCATGCCACCCTCGTAACAAAAACGAAAATCGGGACGTAGTTTCGCCGCGTGCTATTTCCTCACTC